AAGGATTGACAACATGCAAACTACTAAATACAAGATAAGATGGCTAGTGCAACTATCGAAGATTTTCGGCAATTATAATCTCTATGGATTTTTTTGGTACATTAAGATTTAGATTTATACTCTGCATTGACATTTCATTTGTTTTTTCATATATATAAGAAATATACATTCCTATATAGAGCTTGTTTGAGAGGGATTTTTGGGGAAAGAATTGATTTTGAATAGTGATATGATGGGAAATGTGTGGTTGAAAAAGAAGAAAAAATTATTGATGTGATGGAAAATATTATTTTATTGAAGAATGTGTGGTTGAAAATGAGAATTGATTTATTGTANTGATTTACTGTAAAAAAATCTAAATCCCTCCCAAACAGAGCCATAATTTTTAACTTGGTCTTATATATAGTTGTTGGTCTCAAGTCTAAATAATGGATAAAGATTTTTACAACTTTATAATCCTTTTAACAAAATAGAATTTCTTACGTTTACCATTTCCTTAAAGATTTTTGTCGTTCATTATCCTTTTCTCAAAAATATAATTTTCAACTAAAAAGGGAGTAGTGAATGGCCGAGCTGAGCTCATAAGTCGGTGAGTTGAACAACTCGACCCGTTTCACACCCTCCCTCCTTCTAGGAATGTTAAATGGTCGAATCAAGCCGCATGACTCATCCACATTAAGCTAGGTTCGTCCCCATAAACTCTTCCCCTTTGTGAGTCAAGTCGAATTGGTTTGTGATCACTTGTAACTCGTGAATTTTTAACATAAAATTACATTTTTATCCTTCGACGAGTTGTCGCAAGAGTTAACTTGTAAACTCGTTGGTCAAATTTGTTGTGCAGCTCGACGAGCCGCACACGCCTTATCCCATCTACTCCCCCACTCAAAAGGAGTTACAAAACATTCTCTCTCGAGAGTTAAATGTTTCATTAGCTATTGAGCTTTCATACATGTCACGGTTTACTCATCCATCCTTAAAACTTATCCCACTGGCCACTCAATTTTAAACTGTCCCACTCCGTTGGCCACTAGATCAAAACCGTTAATAACTTTGTCCACGTGGCTAACGGTATGATGACTGGCACATTAAATTGCTAATTAGATGCCACGTCAACGCCATGTGTACAAATGAGTTACTCATCGAACTTTACTCCATGTCAAGGATTACTCACCGAACTTTGTTCTATGTCACGGTTTACTCATCGAACTTCCAAAATTGTCTCGTTGGCCACCAAACTTCACTCCATTCAACTCCATCACTCATCCAAATTAAGAAGGTGTTTGGTGGAGATTAAAATTGAATTTTTTGGTAGATTGTGATAGAAGTTTTTGAAATATGTGGTTGAAAAGTTGCGGAACCCATGAAAGATGTTATTGATATTGATTGTTTGACTTTGACTTATATTAAAATCAGATTAAAATCTGTACCAAACATGCCATAAATATAAGTTAAAAATATAACAATGAGATAAATTTTGTAATAAATCTGAAAATTAAAATTAAAACTGAAAATTAAAAAGAAAACTGAACAAGCCTACCTGGATGACGAAAGTTGAGTTAGCCAGTTGTATACTTCCAAATATGAATTTAATTGCCAAGTCAGCTCCAAATCATCACTGCCAAACACACCTTTCGTAATATAATTGAATCTCGTTTTGATTAAATAGAACAAAATGCGTCTCTAACCATTTCTTTGAACAAACTAGAGAAAAGTGAAATTAGAAAATCCTCAAATCTACTTCTAGAGACATTCAAAATCCGAATCCCCAAATCAAGTATATCAATTACCTAAGAATAAGTTTTAAAAACTTTCAAATTAACAATTTAAATTTCAGTTTTCTTTTTTAATTTTCAATTTTGTTTTTAATTTTCAGATTTATTTCAAAATTTAATCTCATTATTATATTTGTAACTTATATTTAGGGCATATTTGGTACAGATTTAATCTAATTTTAATATAAGTTAAAGTCAAACAATCAATATCAATAACATATTTTATGGGTCCCGCTACTTTTCAACCGCATCTTTCAAAAACTTCTATCACAATTTACCAAAAAATTCAATTTTAATCCCCCACCAAACACCTTTTTAATTTGGGTGAGTGATGGAGTTGGATGGAGTGAAGTTTGGTGGCCAACTGGACAATTTCAGTGAGTAAACCGTGACATAGAACAAAGTTCGATGAGTAATCCGTGATATGGAACAAAGTTTGGTAAATAATCCATGACATGGAGTAAAGTTCGATGAGTAACTCATTTGCAAATACATGGCGTTAACGTGGCATCTAATTAGCAATTTAATGTGCCACATCATTATACCGTCAGTCACGTGGACAAGTTATTAACGGTTTTAATCTAGTGGCCAACGGAGTGGGATGGTTTAAAATTGAGTGGCTAGTGGGATAAGTTTTAAATGTGAGTAAGTAAACCATGATATGTTGTTCGGTGGCTAGGGAAACATTTGACTCCTCTCTCTAACCACACACTCAAGCCACACCACGGGTTCACCGGCACCATCAGAAGCGTCGACCACTCTTCAAATTCCATGGCCTTATCCTCACTCTCTCAACCGCCACTGCCTCTCACCACTCACTCCTCCGCCTCCTCACTCCCCAAACTCCTCCACTCTGCCGCCTCCAACTTCTCATTTCCAGCTACTCTTTACGTTGACGGCCTCTCAACCACAACCAATTCGCCTTCAGATTATAGTAAGTGGAGAACCCACGTTTCGTTCTTCCCTGCTTTTTTCAACAACAAAACCAAGAATATGGAGTCCATCAAACAAGAGCTTCTTGAAGCAATTGCACCCCTTGATCGTGGTGCTGAAGCCACTCCGGATGACCAGCAAAGAGTTGATCAGGTTTATTTCTTTTTCGTTTTTCAGCTTCTTTATTTCTTGTCATTTTCTATTCAAGGATAAACAAGTTTGGAGAAAATAAGGTTGACTATTTTTTTGTGGGTTTTAAATTTTTTTTTTTTTTTGCATTTTAAGTATGAATATAATAAATTAAGGATTAAATTATTTAAAATATGTGTTCCGTGTTCGATTATTGTATGATATTGAATTGATGCTATGCGAGTCTTCTTTTATTTCGTTTTCTTTAATGGGTGAGGGTGGGGTTGAGGAGACGAGACTTCAATTGATTGTACTCATGTTTTTACTGCGTACTTGTAAAATTAAAACATTCAATGGCAACATCAATGTTGAAAGACAGAGATCCACATTAACCCAAGTGGCGAATCAGAGGAACACCGCCACTCCTCAGGATTAGTCCGATGAAACGAAGACCGCCGAGTCATAAAAAAAAAAAAAATTTGAAACATTCAATTATTAGCCTCTGTTTGACCAACATTCTTTCGACATATTCTTTCAAAACTCATTTCCAACTATCCATTCTTCAATAAAATAATATTTTACATCATATCAGTAACTTTTCCTTACTTTTTAACTACATATTTCTCATCATATCATTATTTAAAATTCATTATTTCCATTTCCTCAATTATATCCATCAAACGCACCCTTACTCGAAGATCCAAAGCAACTACATCCAGTCTTTCCACTGAAACGAATGTCGAATAAATACAATATAATAAAATTCTCTGAATTAATAATTTTTCCATCTCCTGGGTTTTTTAGTTAAAGGAGGGTCTGCACAGTTATCAAAGATTTGGTATTGGTTTTATTTTTTTACTTTGCAGAAGGGAAATTGATCTTTGCACAACCTTTTTTTTTTTCTAATTTGTGAATCGGAATACACAAGTGATATCTATTTCAACTGCTTATTTCTTGTACATGTACTGTTTATTGAATCATTCTAGGCCATAGCTTGTAACTAAGAATATGGACTGTTTCCAGGATAATGCTGCATATGTGATTCTTCAGGAGATTGTTTAAGATTAGTTTCGTCCTTCTTCATTTTCCTTTGACTTTGTTGTTAGTTAGATATCTCGCAAACTCGAGGCAGTCAACCCAACGAAGGAGCCGCTGAAATCTAGTTTGCTGAATGGGAAATGGGAACTCATATACACGACTTCGAAATCAATTTTGCAAGTACAGGTAAAACTGCATTAAAAAGGGAATATGGATGCTAAACTGCATTTTCCGCTCAAATGATATGATTATTTTTTGAAGCTGTTACCAGGGAGTGATTGCTTTTGAATTTTTCTTCATGCCTGTATAATTGTTGAAATTGCTCACGAATTTAGCACTCTGAGCAGAGACCAAAGCTTTTGAGAACTAGAACAAACTATCAGGCAATTAACGCAGATAGACTTAGAGCTCAGAATATGGAATCGTGGCCATTCTTCAATCAGGTATCTGAATCATTCTTTTAGCCACACTGTGGTGTATACTGTTTAATCCCACTCTCCTTTTACTTTGTTCTATAAACACTTTCTCCGTTCCTCGTTCCTACCATAACACACACAAACAAACAAAGCTAAGTTTTCAATTATGCAGGACTAGAGATATCTTGCCCACCGGTGAGGTGGCAAGAGATAGTCTTGTCACCTCACCGGTATTTTAAACCCCACCGACGGGGTGGCAAGACCACATCTTGCCACCTCATTGGTGGGCAAGATATGGGCAGGAGGCAGTCTTGTTCTATTATGATCCCAAGTTGCTGTATTTTTGCTGAAAAGTAGCATAGGATATATAGCATACGTATGTATTTCTTGTGCATAACAGTTTCCAGAGTTTGTTTCAATACAAAAGTCCGTATCCTGTGCCTCCTTACGCAAATTGTCCATATCGTTTCAAATTTGGCAATGCACCCTGAAATCAACCTTTCATTTGAAAAATGGTCCTTTCTGTCTGGTTCTATCCATTTTTTTTGTTAAATAGGCGCGTGATTTGTAGATGACTTAATTTAGAATGATAAAATTGTCGGTCCACTTAGCGTTATCATTTAATTTTAGTAAAAAACAATAGAAATAATGAAAAAAGAAAAATAAAAGAGTAAAATGAATTGAAAAAAAACCATATTCTTCTCAAATGCCCGGCCCAAATTCACCCCTGCCCATGCCTCCACCCCCCACAACAAACCACCAGTCTGTTGCCCTGAATCCAGCCAACATACCCCAAGTTTTAAATTCCAATGATATTTCCAAAATCTAATTTTTCTACACTAAATATTTATATAAACTATTATAATTTCTCTTTCAAGCAGTAAACTTTAGCAATCAATGGCCCAGATTTTTATTGTCAACATCTCATGCATCAACCAGCCATCTTCTGTTATCGTCTCTTCCTGTAGTCCCACCGCCAAGGCTCCTAAACTCCATTGTTTCCGTTATTTTCCTCCATTATTTTCATATTGTTTTTAATAAAATTAAATGATAAAGATTAAGTGGACTAATATTTTTACCCTTTATGCAATCTATAAAGCAGTGCCTATTTAATAGAGAGAAATGACCTCCGGGTCCCTACGGTGCAACCCCGCTTAGGTCGGAAGCCATCCCAACCTGAGCGAATTGGGTCCTTTAGTTCGCTCTCAATGGGAATTTCTTTGTATCGTAAAACAAAGTCAGTGAAAGCTTTCTTCTGGGCGCTGAGGTACGTACTGTACGAAATAGACAACAAGGACGATTTGTGCAAGTAAATATTGATCTGAGAGTGTAACTATGTAAATGCCAAATTCGAAACAATATTGATGATTTGTGCAAGGGTGACAAAGTATAGGGACATTATATGCCATTTACCATTGTATTAACTACCGTAATTGTAACGATTCGGGTCTCTATACCCAAATCGTTAGCTTATGTACTGTCCGTTTTGGATAAGCCTATGCCCACTTGACCCATTCACGAATTTCTATTGCGTCCCCCGAAATTCAAACTTAAGACCTCTGTCTAATGAGAGACTTAGGTTTTATCTAGATACCAATCGGAAGCTAAAGGCTTGAGTATAAAGACCCAGGTCATTACAGTAATACTTGCTCAATATTGTCTAGTCTAGCAGTCCAAACATGAAGTGAAAGTCTTATGTCCATCTTCGCAAACCTGCCAGATTTCACTTACTGGTCGTAGCTATTGTCACTCGAGTAATTTTTCCATTAAATAGCCTACATCATTGATATTTTTGTATTTTCATATGGACCAATCTGAAGCAATGACATTTTTCCGGTGTCCTTCAGAACTGCCTTGCTATCAATAATCCAAGGGGTGGAAGTAGTTCGTGTGCCTCTCCCATAAACTGATTATTTGGCCTTTCAACACTCGAATGCTACATTATAGGAGATGACGAACTTTTACTGCTTTTTCTATAACTAATTATTTTGGCAAATTAACATTTCACTCTAAATGCTTAGTTCACTCACCTTTTTCTTTTAACTTGTCATTTTGTAGGTTACGGCTGATTTAACACCTTTGAATCCAAGAAAGGTGGCTGTACAATTCGATTATTTCAAAATTGGAGGGCTGGTAACTGTCGTTTCCTTGTTAACTAAGCCTCTTGCATAGTCGACAGAAAATTACATTATTATGTGTTAGTTGTTTGGCTGTTCTACATTAAAGAATTGGATGCACAAAAACAATCATAGGCTTTATAATTAGAGATGTCATTGGTCCTACAAGCAAGTTGTACATTCTTGTAGAATTATTATGATGAGTATAATATGCTGATAAATGAAAATGTGGGGAACAGATACCGGTGAAAGCTCCGGGAAGAGCTCGGGGCGAGCTGGAAATCACTTACTTGGATGAAGAGTTAAGGTCAGTTTATGAACTAGATTCGCCAGTCTCAAATTAGATTTTACGACCAATGCTCTATTAGTTGCAGCTTTTCTCTGGTGTTCAATATACATACTGCTCATGCACGTAAGAGTGACTCGGGGAGAGCGGTAGACCTAAAGTAACTTGGTGCGTGCTAGTAGATAAGGATCTACAGCGTGCATGGCTAAGCCTGGAAAAACCTAAAAGTTCGTTTTAGAAAACTAAAGACTTAGGGGCTGTTCTCTTCGTGTTTCAGTTTTGTGTTTTGAGTTTTGATTTCATTTTGTATTTTGTGTTTTGAGTGTCTGTTTTGAAATTATTGAAAATGCGTTCTTTTTGTCATTTTGAAAAACGGTTTCTCAAAACAGAAAAATGAAAAACGCGTTTACCTTGAAATTTTGAGAATTTTTTTATAATATTTTATTTAAGAAATCTGATTATTCAATAAATTTTAATAGTTTAATATTCATATAGTATTAAATAGCATATAAAATTTGAAGTTGGTGAATTTTAAAATATTTTTTTCCTGATATAAAAAACACAACATAAATTAAATTAGGCAAAACAAATCAATCGATACAATTAGAAATTGGACGAATTATCTCTGTGCAAAAATTACAAATAACTCTTGTCACTCGTTTACACCATTTGTGTATCGTGTTGTTGGAATGCCAAAATTATCATTTTTATCTCGTTTTAAATTAATAAAAATGATGAAAAAAGTTTGGTAAACATAGTGAAATATTATATAAAATTGAATAATCATAATAAAACATTATATGAAATTAAATGACCATAACACTAAATATAAAATTAAGTAATCATGATAAAACAAAATCAAATTAAATAACCATGATAACACCGAGTATAAAATGAAGTGTTCATTGATGAATTTAACACTCAAATAAACCAAAAGAAACAAGAAAAAATTGAAGAACTAAAACAAGGGGTTTTACTTTTCATTCGTGGATTCAAAGAAAAATGATAACATATTACAATCTTAACTCTCTCCAACCCAATTTTCCTAAAAACTCATTCTAAGGCTAAGCTAAATACATGATAAAGTTTTATCAAGTAAATTCTTATTGAACTAAGCAGCAACCTTCTTAGGGGAATTGGTAGCCTTTGAGGGTGATTTTGGTTCTTTGTCTGCACAAGTCTTCTGAGAATATCAAATTACAGTAAAGCCTCAACATGCTGACAAGCAACATCGCTCATTACATGTCACAAAATAGCAACGGGGCAAATGGGACCAATAAGTTATGCAAATCTCGGGCTAGAATCACAGGCTATACAATGACTGAACATTGCTTTCTTCTTATTGGGTCACATAGAGAGTCAATAGTGGGTTATTGTATTTAGGATCTAATATAGAGAAAAACATCTAAATTACATCAAAGCAAAGGTGCAGTCTTCTTTTAAGGATTTGTCAGAACTTCAATTGTTCATAAAAACAACCATATAATAAGTGAAACATAAGTTAGGCCGAGAAGGCTAACACTGGCGAGTATGTAGTTTAATTTCTCTAAAATATCATTAAACAAAGAAATATCACACAACTGACCTCACCTAATAAGCTTATGAACAGAAATAGAAATAAATGCCTTTCGCAGGGAGGAATTTGTTACCAAAATTTACCACAAGCAAACAACTAATCATCATCATACTCAGAAGTTCAAGTTTATGATACAAAAGAAAGTGCTAGCAGGAACAGCTATACTAACTTCTAGCTAGGTATCCAATCAGCAAAGGATTACGT